TTTGTCATTCTGTGCCTGGCTTATTTCACTTAATGTTCTACAGGTTCATCAATATTTTTGCAAATGACAGGATTTTGATCTTTTTAAAGGCTGAATAGTATTCTATTGTATATAGACCACATTTTCTTTATCTATCCATCTACCATCCATCCATCCACTGGACATTTAAGTTGATTCTATATCATGGCTGCTGAAAATAACGCTGCAATAAACGTGGAAGTACAGATCTCTCTTCTACTGATTTCATTTCCTTCAAATATATACTCAGTAGTGGGATTGCTAGATCGTATGTTGTTGCATTTATGATTTTTTGAAAAATTTTTACAGTGTTTTGCATAATGGCTATACTAATTTACATTCCCACCTTAGTAGTTTTCTTTTAAACATTCATGTTTATTTTACTTAAATAAATCTATTTAAAAGATATTTTGATATCATTATTCTAAGTATGTAATTAATCTCACTTGCTTCAATAGAAGAAAACCATAAAAGCAAATACAAAGAAACAAAGCTATTAAATTCTAGCTGTATACTGAAGCCTTGAGCAGAAGCTTGTTCTCCCTGTTTAAAAAAAGAAGAATTCAGTACGTGTTAGAGGGATTAGAGACATACTGGCACCAACTATATTTCTTCCTTTGGAAGGATTGAAACAGAACTTAAAAGGGAATAACTTGCTCAGTATGTGATCTAGTGCTATTTAATGCCACCATCCATTTCTATCTTGAATCATCTCAGCATGTTTCCCATGCTTTGGGAGGGCCATTAGAAGAAAAAAGAAGGAGCACTGTTCATTTAATATTGACCAGTCTTGTTTTTAAAGGTGTATTATATGCACTGATTGTCTATTTTCAATGGAACACATTATATTTTCTTATCAATTTCAACTCTCATTCAGAAGGTCTAAAAAAATATTATTCTTTCACTCCAATTTTTAAATTCAAGAGGGAAAATTTGGTTTTCTGAGAGGATAAATAATATCATATTTGGTTGTACACCATGACACATTCTACAGTATTGGTTAAAATTAGAAACAAAAACTGTAAAATAAGCTTCTCCTAAATCCATATCTATACGGTGAAAACAAAACCTACCATAACCTGGGAAAAGGCCTTCCAATGTTTAAAAATCGAGTTTCAAAATTTAAAACTGTACTAGTAATATTTGTTTAAGCCATCAGAAGGAACTATGTATTACCCTTGCCTTTAAAGATAATAAATTAAACCTGGGATAATATTTCCAAATGGTGTTCCTAGGAATAAGCATACATTAATAACAGATGACAAATAATTTGATATATTCTTTAGGTCACATCTCAAGTGGAGTTAAAATTGAAAACTTGGTATACTTATTTACCCTTTCTAAATTATAAAAATAAATAAATCTGTGCTTGAAACATAAAGTGAATTACTTTAGTAATATTCTAAAAGCAAAACTGCAATTTATATACTGCTTTTGAACATACTCTATTCTCAGAACTTTATTGGAAATGTTATATATTTAGTAAGAAGTAGATGTACCACACATTTTAGAGACTTCTATTAGGAAATATAATTCATACCAAGAACATAAAAAAAATACAAAAACTCAATTTGCTAGGCAATTCATGTTGTCCATTTTGTTCAGTTATTCAACAAATATTTATTGACTACTATGTGTCAGCTACTGCTCTAGACATTGAAGATAACAGCAATGAATAAAATAACATAACATAATAGATAAAATCACCTACCCTTTTAGAAATTACATTCCAGTGTCCTTTAGGTTTTTATTGAAATGTAGCATGAAATGTGTGTGATGTTTCCATTTTTAAGAAAATTTATTTTATTGTGATTTCAACTTAAAGGAGTTTTATGAGAAGAACATTATCTTACTCTTTAGTTAAAATAAGTATTGTATGAAAAAAACAATAAAAGCAGTAAAAAGAAATAGAGCATTTTCCTTTGCCTTTTACATTTCCTTTTGTCTTCTTTATTGTCACTGTTTTATAGAAAAGCCCTGGGAACAGAGAACCATGATGTGTCTTTTTGTCCCCAAAACCCAACCTTAAGCCTAGCACTTAACTGGAACTCAACAAGCTTACTGGATAAATGAATAACTTACACAGGTATTTACAGTTTAAAATCAAATCAGGAGTAACCAAAACCATTGCATGAATGTTTAACAAAAGATACCCAAATGGTCTGAGTAAGAACTATTTTTGTTACCATATTCTCTTTCACCTGTCCAGAAATGCTTCCAAGAAAATTCTAAAACCCTGAAATCTTTCTACCATTGGCCTTCAGGCACCATAATGTAATTGTTACCTTACAGAATGAATGTGAACCTTTTCAATCTTCCTTAACAAATCACTAGGGCCTGAGAAGGGGGAAGACTACGTGTGTTCCAGTGGGGAAGGTGGTGTTTAGGGATGATAAAAAGTGGCAAGGTGCAAAATAAGAATTAGTGCTTCACCCAAATTGTCTCATATGCAGGTGAATGACTTGATTCTTTGGAGCAATCATGTTGACTAGTGTTGTCATACAGACAGAACTGGATGCCTAAAACCTTAAAATTTTATATTTTCTTCATTTTCCTTCCTCCCACCAACTCCCCCAGCACCACAGGGCATTTAAGCAAAGCAAAGTGGGCCCAAAATGCCATTCTTAATGTGGGAAGAATACACTATCTAAATGTGCCCAGAAAACAAACAAGGAAAGATTTCAGTGTTGAAACAACCAGTTGCAAGTCAGAGGAAAGAGTATCTGCCCCAACACATTTCCTTTCAGCATCAAGTTCAGCCAGACATATTCAAGGTTGGATTTAATGTCGTTTCTTCCAACTCTGGAAACAATTCCAGTGGAAGGCTCAACAGTGCAGGTAAGACCACTCATTTCATGACTCATAAATCACTAATTGTACATCTTTACTGAAGAAAGGTCTTTTTCTCTAGCTGTTCAGAAGCAACAATGTTTGCAAATCATCAGGATTCCAGAGAGGAATTAGAAGAATTCTGCAGATTTCATTGCCCAACATTCATTAACCTCTACCTTTCCCAACCAGCTAAGAAATTGCCTAGTCTTTACTGTACCATAAAAACCTAAGTTAACTTTCTCTTTAGCAGAACAGGATCTACAGCAGGGAAAAAGAAAAGAAAAAAAAAACTCTCACGATTATAAAAACAAAGAGAAATGTTCAGCAGTGATTTCTGCAGTTAAAGAAGAAATTGAGAAAGCAAGCAGGTTTACTAATTTGAAATAACAATTCAAACACTCCAGACAGATCCTGTCACTAATGTGAAGAAATTTAACTTTAATGATATATATTCCATTATGACATTACTCATTCTTATTTTTGCAGGTTTTAAAAAAAAACAACAGGTTCTGTACTTTAATAAGGTCTTTTTCTTTCAATATTATCATCATCCTATCCATCACTGCAACATAAAGATGTGGTTTGAAGAATTTCCCATCTCAAAGAATGCCTTGTATCCCCATCAGCAAAGTAGGCATACTCTGGGAGGCCAGCCAGGATGTGGGAAATGCCTCCTATATAAAACTGGATTCTTAATATGTATTTTGAAACTGGATTCTACCTGTATGGCAGTTCTTTTCTATTAACTAGTACTCTCAATCCTTCAAGAATACATTAAAACTTGAAACCTTTCATTTTTCCATTCTTTTGGAAAAAAAAAAGGAAAATAAGATTTAAAAAGTTTTCTAAATATTTTAGCAATAGCTCAAGTACATTTTTGGAGGTGCCTGAGTATTTTTTTTTTTTGGCTAAATAAGTTTATGCAAAATAAACTCAAAAATTCTGTATTGTGCCTTAGGAATTCTATTTTGACACACTCCAAGACAGAACCGAACCTTCTTTTTTTCCTACACTATGGTAATAAAACAACAACAACAACAACAACAACAAAAGTTAACCAGTAAAATAGCAGGTTTTTAGGAGGTGAGAAGGTTGGAATTAAAGTTACCGGACAAGACAGTTGTCAAATCGCACCTCTGGCTTGGTGGTTCCCTTTCCTCCCCTCCCCCTTCTCTCCCAACGCCAAGGCGGTGATGGAGAGGGGACAAGAAGGGCGAGCCAGAGATTTGTTCAAAACTGCGGGTTTTCCAACTCAGCGCACCTGCCGCCTCTCTTCCTCCACGCGGTCGCGGCCAACTTCCCGCAGAACACCCAGGCCCACTGCCTCACCTGGCCCACCTGTCCAGCCCACCTCCCCGGCAAGCCAGAGGGGCGCGCTATTTTTTTTTTTTAAGTCTGCCTCCTGGGGGATGTTGATTTGGCGGGGTATGCTCTTTGAAATACTATATTGGGAATCTCACACT